ATTTTGTCTTATTGAGTTATTGAGAGGCAAACTTTTTATATTGGTGATCATTATTGAAGCTTCACTTCATATATCATGCATTGATTATAGGGATGTCAAATAGAGATTAAGAAGTTTTATGAAAAAAGGCTCATTTATCAAGATTAAGCTCAATAAACTTAAAAATTCGAATAGACACTATTCAATTTGTGAAGTATCTTGGTACATTTGTGGCATGTGCACAATGTTTCTGCTTTCAAACTTGTTCTTTCCTAACCTCAACTATACGATTTTAGAGAATTTGTGCAATTACAATGAAAATATTTATATATATAATCGGGCAAGTGTTGTATGTAATGTTTTAATTTCTCTATTTGATGTAATCATGGAGAAAATAATGCTTTAAAAATTGCTTGGATAAATAAGTGGCTTTGTGACTCACTTAACGATCAATGTGTCGTACATAGCAATGAACTTATATTTTTCAAAACAACCAACTTAATATATTATACTTTGTATTGTAAATTTAGTTTTTTAAACATACTTCAGTGTTTTGTCTCATGATAGCTGATGCAAGGCCTTGTATGATGAGGTGACTGAATTTTATTTCATGGAACACAATGTTCCATTGTTGACCTCATTTTTGATGAGGTCAAATTTTTCTCTTTAGGAACCTATGATCTAACCTTAAGACTTTCATTTGGACTATATTAAAGGACTACTGAGGGAATCCACACCCCACATAGAAATTCAATACAATTCTTGACTCCTCTTGTGAAGTCCCAACTGAGTGGTCACAGGCCCCCAAATGTCATTTTGGATGACTAAGACCAGAATGTGGAGACCCAATAATGAGTTCCTATAGGTTCAATCAAGCCTTAGAACAACTTTAGGTGGCTCAGGTTTGGTCTAACGCACACCTACACAAGCTCAAACCCATCAAATTCCCCGTATACCCCAAAAACCCTAAAATCACATACACTAGACCTACCTCTTTAACTCTCTGGGAAACTCACATGGGTGATCCCAAGCCCTTAACCTTTGGTTAAGATGGCTAACACCAACAAGTGGAGACTCAAAAATGAGTTCTCATTTGGTGTCATGTCGTCCCAAGATGGTTATTCATGACATGCATGATCACCTTACCTAATTTCCCAAAATTTCCTAAATTTCCCCCAAATTCCCCAAAATACTCAATTTAACCCCAAAATTCAAGCCTTTCAAATACCAAATTCAAATTCAATTTCACCAAACACCAAATGAAAACCCAAAGCCCCTAATTTTGAGTCAAATATCCAAATCCATGCTAAAATTCCACCAAGTTCAAAAAGTCACCAAATGGCCTACACATAAATTCAAATATGCCAATCCCAAAATCAACTTTTCATGACAAATTCCAAAACCCTTCAAGATCAATCCTAAGCTCAAATAAAAAATCAAAATTCCAAAGTTTTAAAGCCCACTTTGTCAAACTTTAAAAGCCCAAATTAATCCCTTCATGACAAAATTCAAAAGCCCATAAGCTGAGCCCAATTTCAGTTATGATCGAAGCCCACATGGCAAATTCCCTTTCATCATCATACACCTTGACACCCCACATCATACATCCATGATTCACTTCCCAAACCAATCCACTGAAAAGTAGTGCATCATATTGCAAGGACATTTCAATAAAGCTTTATTTCTTCATTAGCTCTTATTCGATATTATTATATGTAATGATTTAATTAGCATCTATTTGCCTTATTATTATTTTTTAAGGTTAAACTACTTTTTAAGGATGATGTTGATACTTATAGGTGGAACATTAGAAAACAAAAAAAATACAAAGAGTGAAAGGACTGTTCGCTCGTACAAATAGCTATGGTTGCAGAATGTTTGCGTATAAATATATGGAAGCAATTACAAGCACCAGGCCTATTAATTGGGCTAACCACAATGGTTGACATGCTAAAATGAATATTTTTATGGTTGAGTTTGTGCATTATTGTCTTCTAATTACATGATTTTTAATATACAACTAATATATGGACAAATAATCCAAAGACATGTCTGTCACAACCCAACCCGAAGCTTAGAATTAACCAAGACGGGAACATAAAATCATATGGTGAGAATTAAATTTTTCTATAATCATTTGATATTTAACATATGAATTATCCACTAATTGAATTAAATTAAATCAATATCATCTCGTTATTGGTTGTTCGTGTCTTCTATAAATGTTATATCTTTTAACGTTCATAGTTAATTGCTTAATTAATTTAAAAAATTAGTTTAAAATAACAATGAGCTGAATGAGGCAGTGAATACATATATATTCTTAAACTACAATAATACAAGAAAATAAAAGTAAATTGCACGCTAGTTAATAAATCAATATTAACAATTTTAATGCTCTCAATGAATCTTATTATATTAATATTATACCAATATTATTCTTTATTTGTACAATTGGCACATGAGCACTATCTAAATGTTTGTGCCAACTAAGATACTTTAATATTAACATTTTTTTTGTATACATGCACGGGTATATTAATGTTCTCCCGCTAGTACCATCAAAGGCTGACTCCATTATAGTCAGTCATGCACGTACAAACAATCAATACAAATTATATCATTAATGATTTCATATCACTCAGTTATAATGCATTAATTATTTCATATTATGAGATTATATGCATTCGTATCAAAGTGATCGATAAATTTTGATAACAAAACAATCAATTACATTAAGCAAGAAAAATTAACCCATAAAACTGGTCTATAGGGGATATCAAAATGGTGCTATAATTTAAGGATGGAAGTACTCACCTCGTTAAAAGATAATCCACTGGCTCTTGATCTCGATTCTTCTAAAATGAAAAGCCTAAAGCATGAATTTCATGTTTATTATATTTTAATTTATGTGTCATGTGTATAGAAATAGCTTTTTAAGTATATTTTTTTTAAAATCAATATTAAATATTTTAATAAATGTTATTAAACTTACTTATATAAGTTCGGGCTCAGACCTACGCGACATTGTCTCCTTCATCTACTACATGCAGAAGTTATGATTTCCACAAGGCTCGGTTTAACCCACACATAACATCTCTTATAAATCCCTCACACAAAGCCACACCTCCTTCTCTGTATAGAGTTGCTCGTCTTATTCCTTTTGCACTTTTCTCCTCTATTCTTCCTCTTAATAAGGGCAATATTACTTTCGACCTATAGATCAGGCCGCACATAGCGCACACTGTACTCGAGCTCATCCCCATGATGAAGATGATGTCTTGTGTCAAATTTAGGGCTGGTCAACCTCTTCTTCCTCCTCGCAACCTCTTCTTTATTTGCAGTCGCACGCTAGCCACTCAAAGCTCAACACCACCTCCTCACAACTTATTCTTATATATTTAACAGGGTGTGATTTGATAAATCACATTTTTAATCAAAATCATACATTACATTTGACTGTATTTTGTCAACCCACTTAAATCATTTTCTTCATTTTAAATAAGAAAACTTCCCTAAAACATGTGTTAGATTAAACACTTAAATGTCAAGGAATATAAATGAGTGATCGTAATTGAATGTTTTTAACTTCTCATCTAAGATGTAATCTACCATGAAACCATTGAACATTATATCCCTTAGAGCCAAATATATCTCATCTGCAACTTATGTTAGGCAGGGAAAATCTTTTGGAATATATTTCATTTTATTTCCATTGATTTTTATACTTACGAAATTACACAGACTATTAACTCCTGCTCCTTCATTATAATTTAAAATTTTCTTATCCTTTTTAGCTTCTCAAACTGGACAAGATAATCATAGAAGTAACATACACCAATTTTCATTTGAGCCATTTTAAAGAAGTCTTTAAGAGAGCTTGCACCAAGTTCAATAAGTCAATGATTGCGCGTTAAATTGAATTGGCTACTTACTAAGTATTAATTATCTTTGATTAAGATCAATTTGCTCAGGGATTAGACTTACTCGACCTTCAATACTAATTCATTGAGCTCATTGTGGACGCATGAAGTCATAACATTCATTCTGACTACTTGCTCAAGGAAACTAAGAAACTTTGCCTCTTCCCTCAATATTAATAAACACATTAGAAATTCTCACTCCAAGAATATGTCAAGGCCACTCACCCTTAGTATAAAAATCATCTTAAACTCTTGAATGACTGCAAAGTACAAGTTAGACTGACTCTTTTTTATAACTTATTATATTAATTCATATATAATATATTCAATGTGACAAAATCATGCAGCAAAAATTTTGTATCATCATTTTTATCTGCATCTATAAATAAAGAATCATGGGTTATGTTTGCTTTTATCCTAGATTCTTCTTAAGATTTCATTATCCTAGATTGTTCTTAAGATTTCATAACTCAATTTAATTATCATTTTCTAAAAGCGCTCAACCTAGCGTGCTTTAAGACCAATTGGATCAGAAAGAATCACTAAGACCAAATATCCTCTCTCGTCCTTTCTTCAAAGTTTTATCTATATCTCTAAGTGATCACTAACACAAATATCATTCAACAACAAATATTTAATAAAATTTAGTAAGAAAACACATATCTTATTATAACTCACAACATTATGTTGATTAAGCAGTCAAGATTTTCTTAAAAGTGTAAAATAAGCATTTGATATACAATATTAATTTTTTTCAAGTTAAAAGTTAATCATTAATCTCAATGTTTGTTTTCTTTAAATTTTTTTAAATGTTTTATTTGTTTATAAAAATACAACATTCTAAAATCAAATAAGCTAATTATAATATATTTTTATTTAAGAAATACTTTTAAGAAAATACTAGTGTCAAACTAACTAAATAAAAAGGAAAAAAAAAAAAAAAAACTGTTAATCCCCCTTAAGAAAATACTAGTGTCAAACTAACTAAATAAAAAAGAAAAAAAAAAAAAAAAACTGTTAATCCCCCTTCCTCCCCTGCACGATTTCGCCCTAACCCGCACCTTTCGCGTGCTTCCCTTTCGCGTGCTTCCCTTTCGCGTGCTTCCCTTTCGCGTGCTTCCCTTTCGCGTGCTTCAACTTCTCTACATACCATAAATCCGTCTTCCAACGGGATTTACTGAATACTGAATTTACGGCAACGCGGAGGAAAAACGGGATTTAAGAACCCGTGGAAACTTTTTTGGTTTTCCGTCGAAGCCCAAATCCGCAATAGAAAAATCCCTAACCAGTTGTCCTGCAGTTTCCTCGCATTCAACTCACAGGGCTCCGCTTCCGTCCATGCCCATGCCCTAGCTGCCGCGATTTGTGAACAAAATAGGAGGAATAGGAAACTTTGACCTCGTTACTGTTCAAATGATGAACGGTGATTTGCAACTGGAAAAGCTCCGGCAAGGAAGTGGAGGACGTAGTTTCAGATTACTCTTTGACAAATATATAATGTAAAATTGTTGGTAGAGATTGATTTTTTTTTTAATCTAAAGTTAACTCATTAAGTGCTTGCTCTCCTCCTTGCAGGTGCCAACTCATGATCAACTAATCTCCTCTTCTCCTTCTGTCATTCTTCATCTCTCTTTCCCGCAGTTCCGCTCTCTAATAATGGAAGGGCTAATTGTCTCCGACGCTAATCTTACAATATACATTCATCCCTCGATGTTCAAAAGTATACGAGGAGCCATTCTTAGCCAGCTTAGCTCTCTCCTTTTCAAGTAATTCCCCTGACTTTTCTAATACGCTTGCTTTGTTTTTTTTTCTTTTCCCTAAAATAGATTCATTTTGTGTATCAATTACTTCAACAGAACAATTGTTTACTACAACGTTGTACACTGTAACAAATTCTCCTTTCTTGGCCTGATTTATTATTATTATTATTATTGTGCTATCAATTTGTCAAATTCATGAACTATAGGTGATTATATTTCAATAATGATGAACTGCTGCGAATGGCAGTAAGGCTTAGAATTTTGTTGCATTTTAATTTTAAATTTTTATTTTTTTTTATAGATATGATGAAGTATTTGAAGGTGTGCCATTGGCTTACCAAGTGGATGGTCTGAGTAGAACTGCTAGGATTCTTCGAGGTTTGATTCCATATGTTGAGGTAAAGGTGAGGGCAAGTCTGCTACTTTTTTCTCCGAAGCCAGACATGTTAATAGGTGCGTGTTTTGTTTGCCTTGATGGTTTACCTTTTTATTAGTCCAGCACACATTTTTTTTATTTCATACTTTTTACATTTTTATGAGAGGGATTTATCGGAAAAAAAAGGAATTATTTGCTTGCTCTTGCTGTTTAATAATAATACTGGACTAATGACTTATTCAGTTTGAAGGAGTTGGAGGGATGCAAATGCATTTTACATAGTGTTTTTAGGTGTTTGGTTTCAATGTAATTCATATGTAAGAATGAATTTATCTAAGAAATGTTGGCAAATGTATTTTTTTTTTACTTTTTGGCAATTCCTTATCAAGCTACAGTAAAAAAATGAAAGATTTATTTTTTTTTTAATTTAATTTAATTTAATTTTAGGCGTTTTAATGATTATGGAATTATCTTCCCCCTCCCCACAAGAAACAAGAACTCAATTTCACATCAACCAGATAAGAAAAAAAAGCCCACTTGATGTCTTGTCTACCAAACCACGATAAAAAATAATTTCAATTTAATTCATTTAACATTTATATTTTTTATTTTTCTCTTTTAATTCCTTCAAACCCAATAGAACCTAAGTAAAGAATAAAAGCTACAATCATAGATTATATATTCTGTGTATGGAGAGTTGTGTTGAAAAAAAATGGTCTCTATAATTTATTCTTGAACCAAGGAATTCAGTTTAATTTTGGGATTCATCACTTTTCAGTTTTATACTACAATAAGTATTGCTCTATATTAGAGCAACAAATCTCCATGTCATATCAATTTTATCTGTGAATTACATCCCTTGATTAGCTTTAGTGCCCTTACTCAACACCATTGCGGTTATTTTCCACACACTCATAGCTCCACCGATTCTTGGATCTAGAATTAAGGAGAATGTGCTAAACAAACCTTCCTCTCTAAGTGTGGTGCAGAAGGGATAGTTTATATGTTCCTAAAATCACGATTTTGATTGACCTTTCACCATGAAACCCCAATAACATCAATCTAGCTTAAGGGATGTATTTGACTTAAGGTGTAATAGTTAATGTAATGGGATTATTGAGATGGATAGGCCTTACAGTACCAAACTCTAGTTCAGGAATTTTTTTCATCTAATTGAGTTTTGCCAATCAAAGCATTTTATAGTGAACTACATGGACTAATAAGAGGGTGATATGCATTGAAGGAGTTGAAAGAGAATTGAATTAAAAACTAGGTTTTTAAGAGTTTCACTAAACTTTTTATCATTTTCGAGCTCTCTTAATTTTTCTCATTAAGTGTCTCTTCTTTCTTGTTGGGTGTTCTACTTTCTGAACAATTTGTATTTGAAGGTGTGTTTGATTTCCAAGGGGCTTATTAGATTCAAAGTAGTTTTCTTTTCATTTTATCATTTTAACCCCCATTAACATGCAGGAAGAATCTACACTCTAATGGCAATATGATTTTGTATTGGTTGGCATTTGTTACTTTGATTTCAACCACACATCATATCTTAGATATATGATTGAGGAAAATGAGTAGACAGCCCTTTGTTTTTAGCGCTAGATGCAAAAGAGGTGATATATGTTTGTAGTATCAAGGTTATGATAGACCTTGAATTATGAAACATCATTAATGTGAATCAAGGTGAAGGAATTTCCTTGATTGCAATTATAAAAGCAATTTTAATAAAATTTCTTGAATAAACAAGTCATACAATGAGAAATTCTGTTTTAGGCATTCCTTCTGTTAATGGTTTTTGGCCAATCAAAGATCTTTATGTTAAGGTGTATGATCTAGGAGTATTCTGACTTGATGATAAGTACTAATGAAACTGAGTTGCAAATAAGGTTCCATATAGTTAAATTTCTTGAGCTCTTCTGAGATTTTTCCTGGAATCTTTCGTTTTGCTCAGAAGTATATCCTTTTCCTTCTAACTTCCTTAATTGCTCTTGAATAATCTCCTTCCCAACATAGTCTCGGGTAGAGAGAGAATACAAAAGATATTGTGCTCTTAATAGGGGAAATTTAAGGTTTAGGATAACTTGAGATGGCTGAAATTAGCAAGGCTTGGATACGCCTTGGCTGGCTAGGGATAATAGAGCTTGTTGGAAAGGTATTTTTGAGAGGGTGATTGCAGGAACTTCGATCTTGATTGCATTAAAAGAAATTTAATACATGGAGCTATTTATAGCTATCCAATAATAATTCATAAGGTAAGAAATCCTAAGAAGATGCAATAAATGATAGGAATTAGCTTTTTATAAACATGCAAAATATTCAATAAGGCGACCCATTATCTTAATAAATTGTAAAATTTATAATAAATTAAATGTCAATTAAGTAATCATGAAAAGTAGTATTTCATTCTCATCAATCTATGGTCACATCACTAGCGTTTTGAAATGCCTCATGTGATAGGAATCACAGAACGAACAATTCCCAACTTTATCGGGGTTTAGGATCAAGTATAAACTAAACAACACTTCAAAATAATGAGATCGCATCAATTCGATAAAAAATCAGAACAAAAATTAAAATAGAAATATAATCAAAACAACTAGAAAAACACAACAATTTTTGTGGAAAAACCTAAGTACAAGAAAAAACTACGGAACTACACCACCATAAAATTTCACTATAAATTCAGAAGGTCTTAAAAGAACTTACATAATTTTTCTCTTGACACAAATAAAACTCATATGACTTGCTATACAATCTTTCCTCTTCGATCCGACGCAAAAATCACATAGAATCACTGAAATTTACCTCTTTGACCCTCGTCACATTCACTAGGATGCTTGTTGAAGAATGTTGAAAGAAGATAAACCAAGCCCTTACACCACTCAACATCGGGATTAAAAATCAATTCCCGACGCTAGCCACTTCTGACGCATAGACTTCCGAACTGCTGCCTATGCTCCAAGCTCTCGGGAAACATGCGCCTATATGGGCGCTTATTCGCTGGCTTCTCTTTTCGAGCAACACCCAAGTGGGCGCTTAAGCGCCCATAGTCCCAACACATAGGCGCCGGGTGCTCTGTCCCTTTGCTAACCAAATCAGTCTCCACATAGCAATCTCCCACTTGGAGACTGATTGTACTGTACCCGCACCTCCATCTGAATCGCCTTCATAGTCATGTGCTGTGGTCACACATCGTGGTGTGACTCAACCCCAATCTCAATCTTCATGAAACCCAACTGAAGCCAAACATAGCTTCAGTTTCTTAATAGTCATCACCTTTGTCAACATATCCGCAAGATTCTCAGCTGCATGTATCTTTTCCAGAAATAACTTATCTTCTCGAAGAGATTTAATGAAATGATACATGAGCTGGATGTGTTTCGTCTTGGAATGAAAAATAACGTTCTTAACAAGATGAATCATACTCATACTATCACTGTAGAGTATTCTAATCCCCTGCTCCTTGCCCATCTATGCCATGAAACTCTGTAGCCAAATCATGAAACTCTGTAGCCCTATGCCATGAAACTCTGTAGCCAAATCATCTCCTTGCTAGCATCAGTAATAACAACATATTCGGCCTTCGTAGTAGAAAGTGCAACGATCTTCTGCAATATGGAAACCTAACTCATCACTGCGCTCTCTAATTTGAAGATATAAGCCGTTGTACTTCTTCTATGCTTCACATCTCTTCCCAAATTTGAATCTACGAATCCTTGTAGACTGATTCCTGCACTTCCATATCAAAGTGCCCTGTTGACTGTTCCCCTCAAATAGCAGAGAATCCACTTTACCGCCTCCCAATGTTGTCTGCGCGGATTGCTCTACCTGCTGACCACTCCTACTAGGGCTGTAAACAAGTCGAGCTTGAGCGAGCTCAGGCTTGGCTCGTGTTCGGCTCGTTCGAATTAGCTCGTGTTCGAAATCGGCTCGTGAACAGTGTGTTCTTGTTTGACTCGATTTAAATATTTGTGTTCGGCTCGTGTTCGACTCGAAATTGACTCAGTAAACTAAAATTGAGAAAAATAGATATAAAGTGTGAGATTTGAGTCTGGATCAAATCTATACAAAAGAAGACACTAACCACATTGTCACATGAGATGTTATGATTTAAACTTAGACATAAACATATATAATATATTATTATATAAATAATATATGTAATATATTGTTATATAAAAATTTATATAATTTTTTTTTTCGAGCCATTTCGAGCCGAACACGAGCGAACAAATTGTTGTTCGTATTCTGCTCGTTTACATTTCGAGCTTAAAAATTTGTTTGTGTTCGACTCGTTAGGCTTAACGAACGAGCCGAACACGGGCTGTTCACGAACAACGAGCCAAATTGACAGCCCTAACTCCCACTGGATATGTAATATCTGGTCTGATATAAATCATCGCATACATCAAACTCCCAACTGCTGAAGCATACAGAGTTCTCTCCATTTGTGCTTGTTCTGCTTCAGAGTTTGGCGATAACTCCTTAGATAGTTTGAAGTGACTACTTAAGAGAGTGCAAACTGGTTTCACCATGTTGAACTTCTGTAGGATCTTTTCAACATACTCTGCCTGAGACAACTTTAGTGTTCCTGCACTTCTTTCCCTGCTGATTCTCATCTCGAGGATCTTCTTGGTTGGATTTAAATCCTTCATCTCGACTCACTTGATAAATATTTCTTCAAGTATCTGATTTTATCCATATATGCCATTGTAATTAACATGCCATTCACATACAAAAGAAGCAAAATATACTTGTTATCGAAGTGTTTGATGAAGCAACAATGGTTTTCCTGACACTTAATGTACCTATTGTCGGATATGAACCTGTCAAATCTCCTATACCGCTGTCTCGGGGTCTGCTTCAAGCCATAAAGTCTTTTCTTCAATATGCAGACCAAACCTTCTTTGATAGGAACCTTAGAACCTTGTGGTTGCACCATGTATAACTCCTCCAGATCTCCATGCAAGAAAGCTGTTTTTACATCTATCTACTCCGGATGTAGATCTTCCTCTGCTACCAGACTCAACACAACCTTAATAGTCGTCATCTTCACCAATAAGGAGAAGATCTATGTGTAATCCACTCATTCTTTCTGGTGGAAAACCTTGCTAGCAAACCTTACCTTGAACGCTTGCTACCATCTGACTCCTCTTTCAACTTGTAGACCCATTTGTTGTGCAGTATTCTTTTGACATTTGGTAGTACCGTCAAATCCTAAGTCTGATTAACTACAAAGATTGCATTTCTTAATCCATGGCCTTGAATTTTCACATTGAGTGACCTTCTCAAAGCACTCTGGTTCACCACTATCAGTTAGTAAATAGTGTATAAAAGATAATACCTATGTACAGTCGTCTCACTATGCTGGATCTTCTAACTTTTGTAACAGGTGACTGAGGAACTTTCGATGCTCTTTCTGATTGAACACTACTTTTTTATTTTTCTGATCACCAATATCTTCTATCTCAACATATCTGGATTCTTTAGTAGCTGATAGACTGTCAGAAGTTCTGACACTGTTCTTGTGTATCTCTATTTCATTGAATGTGATATCCCTGCTTGTGATGAATTTCTGATTCTGGTAATCCTAGAACTTGTACCCAAACTCATCTGAGCCATATCAAATGAAGGTGCACTTGATAGATTTTGAGTCAAGCTTGCTCTTGGACCTTACATCAACATGCACATATGTAGAACATCCAAATACTCTTAAATGAGATAGATTTACCTTTTGTCACTTCAGTCTTCTTCAGGCGAGCCTTCAAAGGCACTGATGGACTGCGGCTGATTAGATAAACTGTAGTGTTTATTGCTTCAACCCAAAATTGTTTTGGCAAACCTGCATATAGTCTCATGCTCTTAGCACGCTCCGTGATTAATCTGTTCATGTGCTTAGCTACACCATTCTGTTGCGGTGTTCTTGGGATAGTGAACTCATGCCTGACCTCCTATGTAGCATATAAATTTCTGAACTTCTTATCACGGTACTCACCTCCATTGGCCAATCTGAGACATTTCAGCTTTAAACCTGTCTCATTTCTATCACAACCTTCTATTTCTTAAAGACTTCAAATATATCATATTTCTGCTTTAAGAAATAGACCTATACCTTTATCGCGTGATCATCAATGAATGTGACAAAATATTGAGAACGTTCAATGAATTGAACTTGAGTAGGACCCCATACATCACTATGCACTAACTTCAGTTTCTTTGATTTCATAATTGACCCGCTCGTGGAGGAAGAAATTTTTTTCTGCTTGCCATATATATAGCCCTTACAAAAATATAAATCAACTGATTTCAAACCCAGCTTCGAAAGTAGGGACTTCAAATATTTCTCACTCATATGACCAAGCTTACAATGCCACAGACCTACATCCACACTGGTTCCAGCCACATCAATGAAATTAGCAATTTCATTGATCAGATAAAGGGTGCTTCAATGTTGCTCTGAGCCATCACTAATTCTCCCTGGTCATCTTCCACGAATCACCTATGAAATTAGCAATGAGTCCTGACTTTGCCACCTGGCTCACAGACGTGAAATTTCTCTTCAAACTTGGAACATGTCAAACTTCAGTAAGCTTTCAGACTGTTCCAATTAACAACTTAATATCAACATCACACTTTCCTACTATATTGCAGGCCTTATTATCTCTCAAATAAATCTTCCTTAAATTACTTCGAGTGTAAGTTTTAAATGCCTCTTTATTGGGACAAACATGAAAAGAGGCATCTGAATCTACTATCCAGGATTCAATATTAACTAGGGATAATAGCAGGGAGTCACTTTGGATTTTACCAGTGGAGGCATTAGTAGAGTAACTACTTTCATATCCTCCACCTCCATCTTTTCTTGGAACTTTACAACACTTCATGAAATTCCCCTTCTTACCACAGTTCCAGCATTCTCCTCTGCTTGACTTGAACTTTCATTTCTTGAACTTGGATATGTCTTTTCCTATATTTCTGCCCAAATTTCTTTCCCTGTTATCAGCATTCAGCGCAGAACCTGAAGCTTCACCATTTGTTTTTTTTTGGCAAACTTCTTCATTCAGCATTAGCACGATGTCATCGAAGTTCAACTTCGAAGTCCCTGAAGAATTACTCACCGTCGTTACCAAGCCATCCTAGCTTTCCTGCAATGAAGATTGTATTACCAGTGCTCTGGTTGCATCATCAAACATGATCTCTACATAACATAACTGGCTTGTCACAATTTTCAATTTATTGAGATGTTCTGTCACTGAACTGCCTTCCATCATCTTCATGTTGAATAATTTTTTCATAAAAAAAATCTTATTGGAAACATAAGGTTTTTTCGTACTTCTTAGCCAGTGTCGCCATGAGATTCATCATAGTTTTCTTATTCACAATGTTGAACGCAACAAATGAGGAAAGTGTCAACCTAATCAAACCCAGTGCCGTTCGATCTAACACTTCCAATTCCTATAGACATACATTCAGGATTTTTCGTGATTCCTTGTAGTGACTAGTATAATTTTTTCTGCTACAGCAATTCCTCCGCCTACATCTTCCAAAAAGCGAAGTTCGTCCTGTTGAACTTCTCCTCTTTGAAGCTTGCTTCTGCGGCCGTTGCTCCAACTCGATTCGAACCCCTCTATGATACCAGTTGATAGAAATTACACAACGAATAATTCCCAACTTTACTGGGGCTTATGATCAATTAAAAATTAAATCACATCGCAGAATAATGAGATCACGCTAATTCGTATAAAAACCACCAAAAAAATCAAAGTAGCCAGAAAAGCACACGAAAATTTACGTGGAAAAACCTGAGAACGGGAAAAAATCACGGAGCTACACCACCAGAAATTTTCACTATAAAATTCAGAAGTTTTTATAAAGAACTTGCACAAGTTTTCTCTCCACACACAAAGAAACTTACAGGACTCTATTCACAATCTTCACTCTCCGGTCCAACGCAAAAAATCACCTTCACCGGGATGCTCATCAAAGAATACCGAAGGAGATAAACCAAGCCATTCCTTACGTTGCTCGAAATTGGGATTAAAAACTAATTTCCGACACCAATTGCTCTTGGCGCATAGGCGCTCAAACTTGGCGCCTATGCGCAAAGCTCTTGTGAAACAAACGCCTGTATGGACACATATGCGCCCAAAGCAGGCACATATGCCCAAAGCCGGGTGCCTACTTCTCTATTCGAGCAACACCCAAGTGGGCGCTTAAACGCTCACAACCTGATACATAGGCGTCGGGTGCTCTGTCCCGCTGCTCACCATATCAGTTTCCACTCATAACATCATGGATTGGAGATGAGCTACTTTGCTTTCATTGTTATTTTTCTATTTTTTTAATTCTTGATTCACTCTTTACATTTGACATTATTTATTTTATCCTTTTTTCTAACTGTTTTTGAATGTATTGGTCTATTTGAAATGACAAGATTGAGTATTTTGACAATATTTTATAATTTTTAATATCATGAAGGCTTAAAGTAACAAAACTATAATTAGGTTAATTTTATTGTATGGATCCAAATTTTTAACTGAAAAAAAATCATTTATGTCAAGTTGATTGTAACATAAATGAGAAGGTAAGATTGATGTCTAGGAACGATAAATTAAGAATTGCTATAGTAGAGAAAAAGGTGGAGTGAAATTTGTTGAAGGTATGATGGCTTAAAATAGACTTTGGTAGTTTGGAGGTATACTAAGAAGGATAGAGAATATGACTATTCGACGAGTTGATAAAACTAGATTGGAACTTTTTTAGAATTATTTGTAAAGAATAGCTTTAGCATTTTATACAACACTTAAGAGGAGCAAATGGAAAATGACGGTTCATAACACTGGCCACAAATTGCAGGGGTAAGGATTAAGAAGGTGATTGCCCAATTATGGGATGTTAACTGATTGGAGTTTTTTTTTTATTTGTTTTTTAATTTTCATTTGACACATTATTAATTAGTCCCAATTAATGAGGCATGTATTTTAGTTTTTTTTATTCTTAGAAAATGATTTCGTTGGAAAATTTTATAGTTATCACATGATGCTTATGCTTTGCTACTGTTTGATTAGGATGAAAGTGAAACTTAGATGTTAATTAGTAGATTGAAAAATGACTAGTTGCTATGGTTGAAACATATCATCTTTTTTTTCTCCTTATATTTGTTTGAATTGCTTCGTTCTGGAAAGCTCTGCATTTTATTGTACATTGAATTGTAGTAATTTTCTCTTATCACTTCAGAAGGGAAGGTTGTCAAGCTTGGCAGAGAATCTGTACATGCCACTGTACTTGGATTTTCTTCAGCTGCCATTATGTTGGAAGATATACGTGGAGAATTCAAGTATAAGACTGTAAGATGCTTTCCTGTTTACTTTGATTGCCTGTTTCAGGGTTTGACTTTTTTCTAACAATTAAGTTTTTTTGGTAGAGGGATGGTGTGGCAACTTTTACAAGCAGATATCACAAGCACCATTCGATTAAAGTTGGTAGCATCATACGGTTCACAGTGAAAGGGTAAGCACAACAAAATTGTTAGCATATGAGCTGCTAAATCTCCAATTGTGAAGACTTATTCTGTTTTAATATAGAAATAATAATCTATTAAACTATGTGAAACATGGGGAATAAAGTCTATTTACAAGTTTATGTTAGATGTAGAGAAAATGGCATGACATTGGAGAAGTGAAGGCTCATAACTTCCCTGGATTTCACTTTGACATGGCCTAAGTGTTAGGGTCAGTGTTCTGAAAAAATAATAGGAGAATAAAAGCACCTAGTTCAAGTCAGAGCATAACCTTTCGTTAATAGTTCATCACTCACCGAGTCTTGATTCTTTAAGTTAAGATGAGTGTTGGTGAGAATTTAATCCAACCGAATTGTCTGCTTTTGTCTCAACTCAGTTGACATTTAAGAGGGGGCAATTGGGGTGTGACAGCTTGTTAATATTGAATGTTGAATCTTTTTTAACTTATTTAAACCATAAAGGGATCATAAGCATAATATGCATCATAAGCATAAGAATCTTATAACTAAGGCCCCATTTGGGGCAGTTTAGGCGTTTCGAAAACGCCGTTGCCGTGTTTGAAAAATGCGTCCGCGCTGCATTTTGGTGCAGCCTCGATACACACTTCCCAAATTTGTTAATAGGCCTGCGTCCTGCGTTCACGACTCGCGTTAGGATAAAGAATTCCTCCCGTGCCCTTCTTCGCTCTCCCTCGCCCTCTCCCCGATCTTCCTTCCGCTCTTTCACCCCACCGTGATCGCGTCATATGAGGTATGTTTTCGGTATCGATTATGGTATCAATTCCTTCTGCGCTTTCACCCTCTCCGATCTTCCTTCCTTCTGCTCCTTCATCCTGAACATATGACAAGTCTTATTTCTCTGTTGGTTTGTTTTCGGAGGTGGAGTTGCAAGTAAGCAATTTTCTTAATTTTGTGCCAAGATTTATGAATTTTTTAGTGGATTTTCATTATTTTGCACGGGAATGTTGGGATAACTACTGTGGAGCAATTTGGTTTTTCATACTTCAAACATTAACAATTTGCTTGAGAATGTTGGTATAAGTAGTTTGGAGCAAATTTTTGCCATTGTGATTGTTGCTCGGGAAAGTTGGTATAACTACGGAAAGTGTTTATTTTCAGTGAGAATTGGAATTGTGGTAGTGATCCTTTTCGATTCTTACGATTGACATGCTTTAGAAATCATAAATATTCCCCTTTTTACTTTCATCTGTTGTTATGGACATTTTGTGTCAAGGACTGTATTGATGGCTTGTTATGTGGATCAGGAAAGCCTATTTATTTTACTAGAATTCAAAAAAGAGATTGTAATATTGTCACTAGATGAGAATTGATGAATCAAATACAAATGTTATAACACTCTTCAGGAGTAGAAAAAAACTTTTGTTAGCATTGTTTTTGGAATAGTTGTGGGAGCAGTTTATATATATTTAAGGTTGTTTTTATTGCCTTTCACCCAAATTACTTGTCTCAAAGTTCATGAAGGCAAAGTGCTATTGTTATCATTGAATTTTGACTATGATATTTATCACAAGCTTTGCATTGTTTTAGCTTGTGATATTGATGATTTCCATAAATAGGTTTATGGTTCTTTCGTGACATTATTTTATCAATCGTGGAAAAGCTTGATTCTCTCGTTGCATCATTTTACCAACCATACACATGCGATATTTTGAGGGTTGGTGCAGTGGAGAAGCATTAATCAATTCTCTCATAAAGAAAAATCTTCTTTTATATTTTCTATACAATTATATTGTATGTAACCTATGAAAAAGATCTATGCTAAAGGCTAAAGATCGGTACAATTATATTGTATATTTGAGGGTTGGTGCAACGGAGAAGCATGATTCTTTTGTGACACTAGCTTGTGCTCTGATATATTGTTCATGATGCATATATATATTGAGACAAATATGCAGGCATATATTGACTGTAACTATTATCATATCTGAAGTATTTGAGGACAACATTTGAATTTTCCTTCCCCATGACACATATTGAGGTTTAAAAATTGCAAAATTCTTTGGCTAAGTCTTATCAATGTTATCTTTTTTTTGCCTCCCTTCTATTACATACTGGAAAGTCAAGTTGTGGTTTATCTTTGATTTGCTGAAATTTTCATGTTGTTCAGATAGTTAACCATTTGGACCTGTAGTTTAAGGTGTAGTACAAGGTGTAAGACAGTGCCGCTGAGGACAAACAACGTTAGAGTTTTAAATTGAACATTTTAATAGTTTTACTTTTACTTGTAATTGTATTTCTCCGTATTTTATTTCTTTTGATACTCACAAAATAGTGAGCACAGCATTTTATTTTTTTTAACTAATCTGTAACAGTTTGAGGCTTCTGTTCTATCTATTAGTTTCCCCATACAATTATTTTGCAAACAACTTTACAAAACATGACCAGAATGATCATTTGTCCAACAATAGCTGCCAGTAAGCTGTTCTGAATAAGCTTCCCCAAACAACAAACCAGCTTATCATGTCAGATCATCAGAATAATCTGCTTATCAACAAATTATAATTAATCTATAACTGTCCCAAACAAATCCTAAATAACGATGTATATGCATAAAGCATGCATGTTAATTAATATGTTTGATACGTATTTATGCATTTTATAAATTTATGGTCTATGTGTAGTCACACAAATTTTTTAATTATGCTCTCTCAAATCATAGTGCTCCTTGGTCTTATGCATTATATAATAAACTTTAACATAATTTCATAGACTGTATAATCACATTCAAATAATGATCAATCACATAACCCTCACTCTAATTTTCATAGCACCAATCAAATATCAAATATGGTGTAGTCAAAATAATGAAATCGGTTGAACCTAATACAAGCCATGTTGATCACCTATTATGCGTCATTGTGTCATTGCTATTTGAGATCATAATATGCATTCAATGACACTCTATGTGCTTGTGCAATACCATGTCAACGTATTAGCCACCATTTTGTGCAAATGGCCCTCTCTAGCAATGTTGTCTTTAAATGGGTTTAAACCACATCACATTTTCATTCTTTGTCGGCAAATATAAGATTTTCTAGAAGGCCCACATGCCTTTTGTAATTTTAACTCTGGGGCTATATATAAATTTATAAGGTATTCTAAATAATTTTGAAAATATCAAAAGGCTCATCTAAAGCATAAAAAATTCTTGAAAAAATAGAAGAATTGTAAAAATTTCTGTATACATTTTAAAGACAATTTATGGAGGAATCAAAATGTGAAACCTCAATTTTCTCCTTAATAAAATATTTCAAAATAATAAAAATTCTAAGTGGCAGACGGAACATAAAGTGGGTGAAAATGATTAGAAAATATAAAAAATCTTAGAATAAATCTTTTGGCTTTTGATGGTAGAGTTAACAAAATCCACAGCATAACATCCCATTATGTCATAAATAATACCTCTTTTAAATTCAAGAAAATCTTGAATGAACTATATTTGATTGATTAGCATAAATCATGCTGCTATGCTGCTCCATACTAATCAATGACTATGAGCTCTTATCTTTTGTTGTTTAAAATAACTATCATGTTCACAGCTTGTGTTACTACCTCAATTTGTATATTAATACAACAACCACCTAGAAGCAGATCAAAATGTCAACAATGCTTAATTGACCATGAAAACCAAATATAATTAGATAGAGTTTATAACAATTGATGCTAATAAAATCAATTTCATTCCCTTTAAAGAAGTACCCGATCAAATTTTACTTGGGAAATTTATTCCAACTAATTTAGAGATCTTCAATGGAGTCATTGTGATATCCAAACTTCAAGGAATAAGGTAAAGTTCGACACAATTGAATAGTACTTAAAATTTTCATCTTTCAGAATTTGATCGAAATAATCTTATTAAATTCTATACATGAAATCAATCAATTCCATATAAAGCATCATGTATGAATTATTATTAGATTGGAAGATATAAATTTTCAAAGTTATATATTTAATTAATCTAATTAATCCTCCTTTAATCCGCTCAACACTGTAGCCCATTGCCACTTACGCCTTTTATTCATTTTGATCGGTCGAATAGGGCATTCCATGCTTCAATTTTCTCTCTTGAATCATTCTCCTTTCCCTATTTCCTTCCCTCTCTCCGATTCCCCTACTCCTTCATGCGAAAGCTGTAGCTCGGGAGAAGCCGGGAGCCGCGACCCTTGCTATAGTGCAAGGGGCGAACAATCCGCGATCCGAGTGGCTACCTGTCCCAGCTCGCAATTTAGGGTCCCAGGGTGAAATCCAATGGTACAAATCCCTTTCTCTCTCAATTCTAAGCTTTCAATTCCTTCATCACTATTCCGTTTTGACTTTTGCCTCATTTTTCATGTTTTTCTCATTTCCAACAGCCATTAAAGGCATTGATTGTGTGTCGGAAGCATCAAAAATCTTTTATGAGCTTCTGAATTGGTTTTAGCACGAGTTCAGTGAAGGGGAAGTTAAGTTGGAGGTGATAGGAAGAAGATTAACTGGTTTCGAAAAACGATTTATGCTAAAAAGCTCATTTATGATATGTTTCGGGCGAATAAGTTATGTTTTGGGTTAAATCATGTTATGTACCCAAATTTTATGAATTCATATGATATCTATGCTCCCCAGATTGTGTATATGAGACGTGAGCTCAGGCAAGCATATAAAAACTCATCGTGGGTCTGCTTCGTCTAGTTAGGTGGAATAATTTTGTGCTAAACTAAGAAAAATACTCTTCTATAGATTTCACATGGTTTCTAGTTTGACACTGACTCATTTAGTAATTCTGGCATATTGTAGATGGATACCTGCAATTAATTTAAGAATGTGAGTTGACTTTTATTATATTATACATGATTCTAAGTTATTTTTTAATTCAAATGATTATGCATATGACACTGATTGCTTGAAGATATTAATTGTGTTATGATTCATGCTTATGAGATATAAAATACCTAATTGTAGGAATTATGCTTTATGAAATGCTTGATGAATGT